CCGTCCCCGTCCCCGCTCCATGGGGTGGGTCCCAGGCCCCTCCTGGCTGGCTGGTCCCACTCCACCACCCCGTCCCTGCCCTGCGGATGGTATCGATACGGAGCTCTTGCCCTGCCTGTCTGCACCCACAGGTGCCGCTGCGGCTCCAGGAGGGGATGCAACGGTTGGGTGAGGTGCCTGTCCGGCCCAGTCTTACCTTCTCCTGGTACTGGCGCCGGGAGGAGTCCAGTGACTGGATGAGGGCGGTGGCGTGGCCGATGAACATGGCGTAGCAGGTGGCCCCCACAATCATGCTCAGCATCGTCAGCCAGATGTCCGTCATGCTCTCGGGTGCCTGCTTCCCATAGCCGATGCAGAGCATGTGGCTCATTGACTTGAAGAGGGCAAAGGAGTACAGCTCGCTCCAGGAGTCATTCTGCAGCAACAAGGACGGTGGCGGCGCTCAGCCCTGGCTGGTGCATGGCTGCTCGCACGCATGTGTGTGTTGCACGCATGTACCCGTGTGTGTACAGGCACTCGTGGGTACAATGCCCTGACTCAGGCCTGGCAGATGAGCCAGGTTGTCTGCCTGCGTTTCCCAACAGCATTCAGCAATAGGGGGGTTTTTTTTGTTTGTTTGTTTGTTTTTGACCATCTCACCATGCAGGTGAGATCCAAACAAACCCCAACGCCAGGCACGGCTGGGGCTGTGGTGATCCCGCAGTGCTCTGCTCCTTCCTGATGGGTTTCTGCACCTCACCGCCCACCTGGCTTTGCTTTAGGTAGTCTTTTTTTTTTTTTTTTTTTTAAGCTGATATACAAAAGCACAGCGAGCCCCTGTGAAATGGTGTGATGGGAACAAGCTCCGAGTTTGTGGAAGCCACCGAGTTATTGCACCACTCACACTCGGGACCCTGTGGACATGGCTGGGACAGCAGGCAGCTTCAGGCAAGGAGGGGCTGGTGGCTCCTGGGGCAGGAATCCCCCAGCCCAGCCTCACGTGAAGCCCTGGTTTTCCCCCCCAGGAGAAGCACTAGACAAGGAGGAGAGGAAGGAGAGGAAGCCAGGCAGAGGGAACAGAGCAGAGATTGGAAACACCAGCAGAACGGGACGAGATGGACAGAGGGAGAAGAGCCATTTGTAGCAGGCTGCAGGGCTGAGAGGGAGCAATTAGAAACATGGTCCATTATTTATTAATAGCAGCTTTGTTGCTAATTAGCAGTAGAAGGCGGCAGGGGACAGGGCAGAGTGCTGTGTCAGCATCTTCCTCCCACCCGGATCGATCTGGTGCCCTGGGTCCTGCGAGACCTCGCCAGGGAGACCGCCTGCAGCAGGCATGAGGTGCCCTGTGCACCATCCGCACTCGCACCATCAGGGCAGCACAGCACCGGCTGGCGCAGGGCTGGCATCTCCTGGGGGTCAGTTGAGAGAGGCCAGATGACACAGGGCTGGACGGGGGCCTGGGGGGAGCAGGCAGGGAGCGCGGCGCAGTCAGGGCTGGCACTCACCACCATCCCATTGATGGAGACCCAGCAGTTCTGGGGGAAATCCTGCAGCATGGGCACGAGGAACTGGAGGCAGCCGTCCCAGTGGCAGAGCAGCAGCATCATGCCGATGAGGTTGATGATCCTCATCACCGCGCTGGCCAGGTCATAGGTCATGTGGAAGATCTGCGGGTGGAGGGGCCGGGGTGGGGTGGCAGGGAGTGAGCGCAGGGACCATCCCCCCCACTGCCCGGCCCCGCTCAGGGCACCGACCCGCACGGCCTCAGCTGAAATAGGCACTCACAGCTGGCCCGGCCCCAGCACTCCCCGAGGCGGCGGCGCTCCCCCTTTTATAGACAGCGGGATGCCGCCACGCTGTCGCCCCAGAAAGCGCTAATGGCTGCGAGCTTTGATGAGGATAAGCCGGCGCTGGCGGATGCTCAGGGAGAGCCAAATACTCTGGGCACTGGGGAGGGAGCAGGGCAGCCCCCGGGGCAGCGGGTGCGGGCAGCCAGGCTCAACCACGGGTCGGCTTTCGGTAAAGAGTGTCCGAGGTGCCCACATCAGGCGCCACGCTGTCGCCCCAGAAAGCGCTAATGGCTGCGAGCTTTGATGAGGATAAGCCGGCGCTGGCGGATGCTCAGGGAGAGCCAAATACTCTGGGCACTGGGGAGGGAGCAGGGCAGCCCCCGGGGCAGCGGGTGCGGGCAGCCAGGCTCAACCACGGGTCGGCTTTCGGTAAAGAGTGTCCGAGGTGCCCACATCAGGGTGGGGCTGAAGGGAGACCCCGATCTGGGGAGAGCAGCCAGGGCAACTCCACACAGTCTGCTCTGCCGGAGATCCCACCCTGACAGGGACAGGGCTGCATCCCCCCAGGGCCAGTGGCTACAAGAGCATCAGACGCTGAGACCCATCTGCGACACCCTGGGAGGGGCCCTGGGAGAGCCCCCGGGAGAGAGCTGTGACCGCGGGGACCCACCACGGTGCTCCCAGGACCAGAGCCCTGGCCGTGGAGGGGTGTGCAAAGGGCGTGCCTCCAAGAGCAGGTACTCGGTGCTCCAAGCACACCCCTCACTCCTAGCACCAGCCCACAGCTCCTGTGGGAGCGGGGCTTCCCCCCTGGCCATGTCCCCAGTCCCAGCCTGGCCTTAGCACCTCTCGCCCCAGGGCACATGCATAGGCAAAGCCGGGGGGTTAGAGATGTGTGCTCCTGGTTGCAAACTGAGCCACGGGCTGAGGTCTTGTTCCTTTTCCTTTAATATTTTTAGGGTCCAGAAAAGGTGAATTCAAGCGGTGGGGGGGAAAGAAAGAAAATAAGAAATTAACCCCCGGCAGTGAAACCCCCAGTCTCCCCGCTGCTGCAGATCCAAGGCTGGAGCCCCACAGCATCGCATGGAGCAGCAGCACGGCAAGGGC